CACACTCTCTCACACACACACACTCTCTCACACACACACACACACTCTCTCACACACACACACACAGACTGAAGGGGGCTGCATTGGTTGCTATAGCAATTGCTGCAAAGCTATGTGTACTTGCTGTTGATGAGAGTTTTAAAGCTGACTGCTATCTGCACCAGACCTTCTTGATCTTCCATCTGACCCTCTCACCTTCACCTTCCAGGCCAATGGCTCCATTATCCCCCCCATCACAGCCTCCTTCACTCCTGGGCTCTGTCTCTCTCATCAGCTAAGACCCAGCTCCCAACATCAGTCCCTGCTCACTGACCTGGCTACAGTCACCCTCAATATCCCTTTGCAATTTCAACTCTGTCCTTATTGAATATTCCAGAAGCCGGGGCTTGGAAATTCCTCGTCATCCTGGCACCGTTGAGGCCATTCAGTGTATCCTGGCTGCCGGCTGCCCACAATGATCCAGAGTCTCTCACTTAGAGTTCACCATTGATAGGACCATGTTAATTACCTACTCCTTGTTGCAGTTGGATAGAGCTGAAGGGCTTCCTTGAACAGGAAATGGTCAGCCACATTGCTTTGGCTCTAGAGTCACATTCGATATGGTGTGGGAGCTGGAGGAGCACAGCAGGTCAGGCAGCATCAGAGGAGCAGGAAGGCTGACGTTTCGGGCCTAGGCCTGCTGTGTTCATCCAGCTCTACACCTTGTTACCTCCCAGGAAGAGCTGGGTGCCACCAACAAAATGGATCATTTCAACTGTATCATTGTAACCCCCACAAAGCACCCTCGAGGGGAATGCAGTTCCTCATTGTCCCAGCAGGCTATGGTCTCAGTGTATGTACCATCTCTGCTCTGCCTTCTATACAGACTGGCATTGCTACTGACTCCTTCCACAGGTCAATGATCCTTAACAGGATGACATTTGATGTGTGTTTGTGATATAACTGACACTTTAATTGTTCTGTAGCATCCCCAGAATGAAATTTAAACTCATTAATACAAGCCTTCAACAACTCTGCAAATAGGTTTTGCCTTTTTTGGGGAAGTGCGGGTATTGACAATGTTTCTGGCATTTTATTGAATACAGGTGGGAAGGAGAGATGAGCTTACCTCATGTAACTGACCTTGTGACAATTTCACAGTACTCAGGCTCCCTGCCCTGTTTCACAAGAATCAATTAATCAAATCTGTTCATGGTCACAAACTCCAGTGTCCACCCCCACACTCTTTTCAATTCCCACACACACTCGATTTAACATTCTATTACCAATTCCCAAACCAAACCTGAAACAACTGCTGGGATTTGCTGCTTACTGATATTTCAATTTAACTCGGATTGACAGGATAAAGCTGCCTTTCATCATGTTCAGGGGAAAATCAAACTCTCAACCCTCATCTCCTGCATCATATTGCACTTCATGTCAGAGTAAGTGTCAGACGTGAAAACAAAACAGTCCCAACTATATCGAGGGGAGCATGACTAACCCTGTGCTGTCCCTGTCCTGGGAGTGTTTGATGGGGACAATGTAGAGGGAGCTTTATTCTGTATCTAACCCCGTGCTGTCCCTGTCCCTGGGTGTGTTTGATGATGATGATGATGCTGATGATGTTGAGTGTTTTATTCTGTAGAGCTGTTATCTGGAACCTTGACAACCAGAAAGATTGCTGATATTTATTGAAAAGAATTGAGCAAAGGGTAATGTTCCATTTGAGCTGCTGGCTGCTGATGTGAATATGAAGCAGGCTGTAAGTCGCAGTCATTACTGAGGCTGGTGACTCAGTCTCTGTCTCTGTCTCTGTTCGAAACAATCTGCAGTGACTCACTGACATCAGCTTCAAAAGTACTCACTGTGTCTCAAGAAAGTTTGTGAAATCTGGAATTCTCTCACTGTGGTGGCTGGAGGCAATTACAACTTTCAAGCTGGAGATTTGATGGATTCTTATCAATTTGATGAACTGTGGAATATGGAATCAAAGCTGCTTGGCTGCTGGTGCAGGCTCACATAGTTGATCAGCCCAATGTTATGTTTTTCTCACAGGCTGTTTGATCAGTTTGGTGTATCAAATAGATACACCAATCTATTTGATTGATTGAGAGTAAAAACCAGCTTCCAGAATATTCTCCTCCCCTCAAGGAGCTTTGACAGCACTTTCAGAGGCAGAATCCGTCCATGTTGTCATGGTGGTTAGAATCTCAGAAGACCTGCCTTTTGAACCAATCAGGAGTAGGGGGAGGCCACTCGGCCCTTTGGGCCTGCTGCACCATTCAATAATGGCATGGCTAATGTGACTGTCACCTCACATCCACATTCCCACCTCTCTGTGAGAGCCTCTCAGCCCCTTACTGTACAAAGCTCAATATTAAAGCACTCTGCTTCCAACACTTTCTTGGGGAGAGAGGTCCAAAGACTCACGGACCTCAATAAGAAATGTTTTTGCCTAATCTCTGCTTTGTATAATCTCTGGGTTAAATTGGTGACCCTTGGTTTTTAAACTGAGGAAACACTTCTCTATATCTGCCCCTGGTCCAGACTCTGAGCATCCCATGTGTTTCAGTGATACTGTGCCTAACGTTGTGAAACTCCAGCAGCTGGGCCTGTCCTAGCTTTCCTCATGAGAGAACCTCTTCATTCCAGGGAATACTCTTGGAAAATTTCACTGAACGGCTTCCCAATGTATTTACATGTTTCACTGAATGAGGAGACCGGAAATGTACACAATACATCAGAATGGAGCGCTGGGGGGGACACTGGGAGCGCTGGGGGCATTCTGGGGAGCTGGCTGATTGGGGAACGGAATTTAATATGGGACGTGCAGGTGAGCTTTGGATGATGTCAGGTTTGGAGGGCGGTATGGCAGAAGGCTGGAAGTAACTAAAGCCCAAAGGAGGGTCCAGCAGCAGATGTGCTGAGCCAGAGAGTGGAGAGACTGGATGGTTACAGACTGGAATGGGTTTCAGAGACAATGTGGATTTCAGACACCAAGGTCAGAAACAGTCGGGAAAATGATTGTGTTGCTGCTGGGAAAGTGGAGTCGAAGTTGGGGACCAAACAGAAGAGTTTCCTCGGAGTGTTATTTTAATCAAAGGAAGCTCTAGTCGCTCCACACCAGCCGTGGTACAACCAGCTGGAAAATGAATAGGAATCGAGAACTGGTCCAGAGTGCAACGAAGCAGAGTGGGCAACGGGTTCATTGGGGCAACAGTTACACTGGGGAAATGGGTACATTGGAGCAAAGGGACAATGGGTACTTTTGGGGCAATGGGGACACTGCGGCAATGAGGCAATGGTCACAATGGGGCAATGTGCACACAGGAGCAATGGGGCAATGGGTACACTGGGGCAATGGGTACACTAGGGTAATGAGGCAATGGGGGCAATGGGGCACTGGGTACACTGTGGCAATGGGTACACTGGAGCAGAGTGAGTGTGGGCGTAGGGATGTTTCATGGCCTGAGTGGGTGAGTGTCAATTGCTGAGGGCAGGATGTGTTCAGGATTTTGCAGGAAGGGCTGTGGGCAACTGCTGTGTGCTGTGGTGAGGGGTTAGAGTGAGTGATGTTCCTGTACCGGGACAGTTACAGTGAGTGTGAGGAATCCGAGCTATGGTGGTGAGCTGCTCTCTTGTGGAACAGAGAAGGTGATTGACCTTTCACTGGAATGGTTGTTCATTTCTCTCCATGTGTCAGAGCGCCCTGGCCTGGGTCCCCACTGGGTCCTAGCGTTCTCATCTCCCCTGACTGTCCACAGGAAAGAGGATGACCCTCCTCCCCACATCCACCCCATTACCCCACCCCCACTGCCCCACCCTCCTGTCCCAAAGTGGATGGGGCCCCTTCCTGGGACTTGGCCATTTCTGAACCAGCTGAGGGGTGGGTAATGAAGGTGGTTAGTGCCAAGCTAAGTTTCCAATGGGGCGCCAGTGACCGTTCCTGTCTCGGTACTCACACTGGGATGGGGGAGGTGTCCAGGAGTACCGATTCTGTCCTCACTGAGCCGAGCAGCAGAGAATCAAGTCAGCAGGTTCCTAGTGGAAATCCCTCCTTAAAATAAACCCCAAAATTAAAACTTCACCAAACAGGATTGAGCTCAATGCACAAGGTGACGAGGTAAGGCAGGAGGACGGCACTTGGTGAGCTGCTCCTTTGGAGAGCTAGTACTGACATGATGGGGTGAATGGTCTCCTTTTGCACTGTGACCATCCTGTGATTGAGGGAGACAGAATGAATCTGGTCAAGGCGAGGATCCAAGGATCCAACTGTGTAGCCCAGTGGGACCGATTAGTGACCGAGTGACCAGCCAGTCAACCAGTGATCAACCAGTGAAGGCCCAGCGATGATTGAGATCCTGCGAACCACATGGGATCATTGGATCAATTGTGGGATCTATCACTGACCAGCAGTGGAATCTACCACTGGATCAACCACAGGATATCCAGATGCTGGAGATCCCTATAAACTGAGCAGGTGATCGGGTCAGATCCCTGTCGGTCACAGCAGCTGTAAACGTAGCCTCTGTCAGCACTCAGGCAGTAAATGATGCCCAGCTCTACCACCCTCCACCCCCCTCCAACCACCACCACCCACCCCCAACAACCAGTCCCCACAGTGCCACAGAATGGGCAGACCTTCCACTAAAATCCCCGAGGACTGGATTCACAGAGTTACTTCAGCAAACTATTGATAGGACTGAAGCCACTTCCTTGGGATCCAGCATCGTCTTGGTCTGTACACTCTGACTCTGTCCCTGTCTCTGATCATCATCCGATTCTGGATTCTATTTGACACAAAAACCAAGATTAACACTATGATCACATGTGGGATCCTGTCTCTGTCACAGCTCCTGAATCAGCTCCCAGTATCTCTTAATGCCTTTGTTATCAAACAGATATGATCTTCTAACCTGGATTCTATAATCTATAACGTGTATTCCATATTCTATCATGTGTACTCTGTTTGATATGGTAACGGTGTACATGGGAGGAGCTGGCTGTTTGGGCTTCCAGAGAGTTCTGTCCATTCAGCCCCTGATCAAGAACTTCAGTTAGGGATATTATTACACAGCTCTAGAGCAGGTGGCACTTGGACCTGGATCTCCTGGCTCAGAAGAATGACACTACGACTGCACTACCAGAGTTCTGTGTACCACTAGTGCTGACCTACACTGAGGAAACAGACCCTTCGGTCCAACTTATTCATGCCGACCAGACATCCCAATCTAATCTAGTCCCATTTGCCAGCATTTGGCCCATGTCCCTCTAAACCCTCCCTATTCATATCCCCATCCAGATGCCTTTTAAATGTTGTAATTATACCAGCCTCCATCGCTTCCTCTGCAGTTCATTCCATTCACTCTCTGTGTGAAAAAGTTGCTCCTCAGGTCCCTTTTAAATCTTTCCCCTGTCACCTTAAACCTATGACCTCTAGTTTTGGATTCCCCTACCCAAGGGAAAAGAGCTTGGCTGTATACCCTATCCATGCCCCTTATGATTTTATAACCCTCTATAAGGTCACCCCTCAGCCTCCGACACTCCAGGGAAAATAGTCCCAGCCTATTCAGCCTCTCCCTGTAGCTCAAACCCTCCAACTCTAGCAACATCCTTGTAAATCTTTTCTGAACCCTTTCAAGTTTCACAACATCCTTCCTCCAGCAGGGAGACCAGAATTGAACACAGTATTCCAAAAGGGATCTAACCAATTGGTTTAAAGTGTTTGTGTCTCAGTATTCCAATCCTGTACGGTCTCGTGCTTCCCTGTAGCTGTAACCTCCAACCCCCGATATGCCTGGTCCCCTCAATTTCACCCACCTCAGTGACCGCCCCCCCAGCCCCGATCATAGTCACCCACACTCCTCCCACTCCTGCTGACTTCACCCACTGAGGCCTCCTGCCAGCAATTTCCTCCCCAACCCTCTCCAGCTCCCTCTTTGGCCAAGCATCGGATCACATCTTCTGATGTAGCTCAATGTCCACCATATTTCGGAATTCCTCATGTGAACAGGAATGGGCTATTTGTCTGTGTTAGGAAGGCACCATAAATACAGGGACATGGAGAGAGCTGAGGATCAGCTTGGACAGGATCAATAGAGTAAAGCCACATTGAAAGCAGCAGGACCTGGAGCAGGTCTCAAGCAGAGCAGATAGTCCACCAGGTGGCTCAGTGGTTAGCACTGCTGCCTCACAGCGCCAGTGACCCAGATTCGATTCCACCCTTGGGCGACTGTCTGTGTGGAGTTTGCACATTCTCCCCGTGTCTGTGTGGGTTTCCTCTGGGTGCTCCAGTTTCCTTCCACAGTCCAATGATGTGCAGGTTAGGGTGGATTGGCCATGCTAAATTGCCCGTAGTGTCCAGGGATGTGCAGGTTAAGTGGGTTAGCCATAGGAAATGCAGGGATGGGGCGAGGGATGTGAGTGAGTGGGTGGGATGTAGGAATTCTATGAATGAAACCAGGTGTTTGAGGTGAGGAGGTCCAGCTCAGAGTGAAATAGGAGCCAGAACAGGAAACCACATCCTCCCAGTGTGAGGTATTGGATGAGACTAAAGGTTCCAGATTGAAGGCTCCAGGACAAAGTGATGAAGACTGCAGCTGGAGCCAGAGAATTTGAAAACCTACAGAAGCAGAGAGTCTGTGGGGCGGAAGGATGGGGAATGGTGCAAACACCATGCTTCAGTTTTTATTTTAATCCTGGAAAGACCACCATCTGACATTATCTGTCTGTGTCAGGAAGTCACTGAGGCTACCGAAAAATCTCAGCATTGTCCGTGTATTAGAATGAAATACAACACTTCAATTCACAGTCACACACACATTTACCACTCCCACACACACAAACACTCCCACACACTCACTCACTCACCAATCTCTCACACACAACACTCACCACTTACTCCCACACACTCACTCCCAACCACGCACACACACTCACTCACAACTCCCCTACACACACTCCCACACACTCACTCACACTCACTCACTCTTACACTCACAACTCCCCTACACATACTCCCACACACTCACTCACACACTCACTCACAACTCCCCCACTCACTCCCACACACTCCCACACACTCACTCCCACACACACTCACTCACAACTCCCACACACTCACTCCCAAACACACTCACTCACAACTCCCCCACACACTCCCACACACTCACTCCCACACACTCACTCCCACACATTCACCCTCCCACTCACCCCTCCCCCACTCACTCACCAACTCCCCCACACACTCCCACACACTCACTCACAACTCCCCCACACATATTCACTCCCCACACACACTCCCACACACACACACACCCACCCACACACCCCCCCTCCCCACCCACACTCACTCACCAATCTCTCTCACACATACTCTCGCCACTCGCCCACTGTAAAGAATGAAGGATTTCTTAATGATTTAGAATGTGGGGCTAACCATGTGTCAATTCTTTGACAAAAACAGAAATTGTTGGAAAAGCTCAGCAGGTCTGGCAGCATCTGTGGAGAGGACATAGAGTTAACATTTCGGGTCCAGTGACCCTTGCTGAGAACTGACTGTAGCTAGGAAATATTGGTATATACTGACCTGCTGAGTTTCTCAGAAATTTCTGTTTTAGTTTCAGATTCCTAGCATCCACAGATCTCTGGTTTTCTTAATTCTTTATGTTTTACTGAGAGTCACAAATGGCCCGTAAACAGATACGGGATTGGATTACATGCAGCTATACTCACTGAGGATATTTTAATCCCTTTAACTATCAGGTTTAGCATTTCTTTCTGAAATGTCGTTATGTTGTTGCTGGGTAACATTGATGCAGATCCCTCAAAGCCTTCACCTGGAGGAGCTGGTGTTCTGTCCTGATGTAGATATTCAGATGTAGGCAATAAATCCAGAAATCCAGCCACATGAAAGTCAAAATATATCGCAAGTTTTTTTTTAAAGAATCGTAATTGAAGGAGTAAAAATGAGTACTATATAGGAAGGATCTAGAGGGATATCAAAACACAGGCAAAATGGGACTAGTCTAGTTTGGGAATATGGTCGATGTGGATTAGATGGACCGACAGTTCTGAGGAAGGGTCAGTTCACCCGAAACGTTAACTCTGATTTCTCTCCACAGATGCTGCCAGACCTGCTGAGCTTTTCCAGCAACTTCTGTTTGAGTTTCTGACTTACAGCATCAGCAGTACTTCCAGTTTTTCTTTGGTCTGTTTCTGTGCTGTATGATTCAATGACACACACTCACCACTCTGTCACACACAATACATTCATAGACACACTCACAAACACACACACACTCAGATGCTGACACTCTCAATCCCTCTCAATCATACACGCTCTGACAACACTCTCACACTGACTGCACACACACACACACACGCACACACACACACACACACACTCTCTCTCTCTCACACTCACACACACACACACACTCTCTCACACACACTCTTTCACACACGCACTCTTTCACACACACAAACACACGTTGTCTCTCACTCACATGCTCACTCACACCTGTAAAAACAGGCAGAAACATACAGTCACTTATTAAATGGGAGACGTGGAATGCATATGTATCTATTGTATATTAATTATTATATTTTATTACATACAAGAGTTCACAGATAGTTGATGAATACTGTAAACACTAACAGCAATGAGTGTACAATCTAATGGAACTGAATGGTCCTGGTTCACAGTGAATGCAGTTGCGAGCTGCTTGATGTTGTTTGCAGTTGAACCGCACTCTGTGGGGGTGGAGATGAGAGACTGGATTCTGATTGGGTGAATCAATGAAGATTCTGCATCACAGCTGCCTCACTATCGCTTTCTGACAGTTAATCCTGGGCTGAGCAATCCTGTGTACCCCCACCCCACCGGCCCCCGCACTGACTCAGGAATGACTCACTGCTCCAGTTTATTCAGGAGCAAATGGACTTGCCTTTGAACACAGTCATACCACCTGCTGCAGCTGGCACAGAGCACGTGGCCTCTTGGGACAGGATAATGGCTCTTTCTGAATCTGAGAACACAAAAACTCTGCATTGATATAGTGCCTTTAATATATACTAGCAGCCTAGGAAGATGGTCATGGTCGTGGAAGGTCAGTCATCTCAGCTCCAGGACATCTCCGCAGGAGTTACTCAGGGTGGAGTCCTAGGCCCAACCATCTTCAGCTGCTTCATCAATGACCTTCCCTCCATCATAAGGTCAGAATTGGGGATGTTCACTGATGATTGCACAATGTTCAGCACCATTCGCAACTCCTCAGATACTGAAGCAGTCCATGTTCAAATGCAACAAGATCTGGACAATATCCAGGCTTGGGCTGACAACTGGCAAGTGATATTCGCGCCACACAAATGCCAGGCTATGACCATCACCAATAAGAGACAATGTAGCCAGTGCCCCTTGGCATTTAATGGTGTTACCATCACTGAATCCCCCAACATCAACATCCTGGGGGTTACCATTGACCAGAAACTCAACTGGACTCACCACATAAACACAGTGGCTACAAGAGCAGGCCAGAAGTTAGGAATACTGCAGTGAGTAACTCTCCTCCTGACTCCTCAAAGCCTGTCCACCATCTACAAGGCACAAGTCAGGAGTGTGATGGAATACTAACACAGAAATTGTTGGAAAAGCTCAGCAGGTCTGGCAGTATCTGTGAAGAAAAATCAGAGTTAACGTTTCAGGTCCAGTGACCCTTCCTTGGAATGAATGGTAGCTGGGAAAATGTCAGTTTATGTGCACAAGATAGGGTGGGGGGAGAGGGGTAAGGAGTAAACAATAGGTGGGGATAAAGACCAAAGAGAGAGAAGAGTTGACAAAGGAGTCGATAATGATCAGGCTGGGAGGGTGAATAGTGGTTAATGGGGACTGTTAGTGACTAACAATAGGGGGTGTGTAATGGCAGGCTATGTGGTAACAAGGCCTGGTGTGTGGGGTATGCAGCTGGGACATGGGAGAGTTTAGGCCCTAAAATTATTGAACTCAATATTGAGTCCGAGGGCTGTAGGGTCCCCAAACAGGACATGAGGTGTTGTTCCTCCAGCTTGAGTTGAGTTTCGCCGGAACACTGCAGCAAGCCAGAGACAGAGATGTTGGCCAGAGAACAGGGTGGTGCGTTAAGGTGGCAGGCAACAGGTAGCTCAGGGTCTTTTTTGCGAGCAGAACGTAGATGTTCTGCGAAGTGGTCACTCAGTCTATGCTTCGATTCCCCAATGTAGAGGAGACCACTCCCCACTTGCCTGGATGAGTGCAGCCCCAACAACACTCAAGAAACTTGATACCATCCAGGATAAAGCAGCCGCTTGATTGGCACCACATCCTCAAACATTGACTCCCTCCACCACCGACGCTCAGTCGCAGCAGTGTGTACTATCTACAAGATGCACTGCAGAAATTCATCAAAGATCCTCAGGCAGCACCTTCCAAACCCAGGACCACTTCCACCCAGAAGGACAAGGGGCAGCAGATGGGAACACCACCCCCTGCAAGTTCCCCTCCAAGCCAGTCACCATCCTGACTTGGAAATATATCACCGTTCCTTCATTTTTGCTGGATCAAAATCATGGAATTCCCTCCTTAATGGCATTGTGGGTCAACCCACAGCACATGGACTGCAGTGGTTCAAGAAGGCAACTCACCCCCACCTTCTCAAGGGGCAATTAGGGACGGGGGCAATAAATGCGGGGCCCAGGCAGCGATGCCCACATCCCGTGAATGAATGAGATTTCGCTGTTAAGTATCACTTTTCTATCCCAGTGTTTGAGGGTGGATGGTTGGAAGAGATTAGGGGCTAGGACTGGAACTAAATAAGGACATAAAAAAAATTGGAGCAGGAGGAGGCCATTCAGCCCCTGAGCTGCTCAGCCATTCAGTGTTATCATTGGTTGATTTTCTGCTTAACACCGTTACCTGCTATGTTGCTGTATCCCTTGAAGTTTCAATCTGTAGAAATCTGTCAGTCTTTGTCTTGAGCATACTTAATGACGGAGCCTCTATCTGAGGATTCCAAAGATTCACCATTCCCTGAGTGAAGAAATTCTTTCACCTCAGTCCTAAATAAGTACAAGTCAGTGAGGGACAAAACAAATCAGGAATTCATGGGAATCTCCTTCATGAGAGAGTGGGGAGGATGTGGATGGAGTGGGAGGGGTCGAGGGTAATCTATTGCTATTTTGAAGAGGAAGCTGGATGAACAATGCGAGGGCACCAGGAATAGAAGGATATGCTAATACACTGAGATAAAGAAGGTGGAAGGAGGCTGGTTTAGAGCTTTCTCACTGGTGCAGGGCCATCAATACAGGACAGGGCTGAATGGCCTGACTCTCTGTGCTGTAAATATTTTGTAATTTTCTGTAAGATAGTCTAGAAAATATTTTAAAGTATTTTTCCTGTGTTGCTCAAGGTTGTGACTGATAAACTGGGAGCAAGTTTACCGACTGAGACACCAACCGAGACAATTTACCGACCGAGACACCGACCGAGACAATTTACCGACCGAGACACCAACCGAGACAATTTACCGACCGAGACACTGACCGAGACAATTTGCCGACTGAGACACTGACCGAGACAATTCACCGACTGAGACAATTTACCGACTGAGACACTGACCGAGACTCCAACCGAGACTCCGACCGAGTCACTGACTGAGACACTTTGCCGACCAAGACAATTTACCGACCGAGACACCGACTGAGACAATTTACCGACCGAGACAATTTACCGACCGAGACAATTTACCGACTGAGACACTGACCGAGACACTTTGCTGACGAAGACACTGACCGAGACTCTGACTGAGACTCCGACCGAGACACTGACCGAGACTCCGACCGAGACACTGACCGAGACAAGTTTACCGACCTAGACACTGACCAAGACAATTCACCGACCGAGACACTGACCCAGACTCCGACCAAGACACTGACCGAGACAATTTACCGACCGAGACACCAAATGAGACACTGACTGAGACACTGACTGAGACAATTTACCAACCGAGACACCGACCGAGACAATTTACCGACTGAGACACCGACCGAGACAATTTACCGACTGAGACACCGACCGAGATACCGACCGAGACAATTTACCGACCGAGACAATTTACCGACCGAGACACTGACTGAGACACCGACTGAGACACCGACCGAGACAATTTACCGACCGAGACAATTTACCGACCGAGACAATTTACCAAGACAATTTACCGACCGAGACAATTTACCAAGACAATTTACTGACCAAGACACTGACCGAGACAATTTACCGACTGAGACACTGACTGAGACAATTTACTGACCAAGATAAGTTTACCAACCGAGACAATGCAGATTCTCAGCAGCAACTAAGTGTTGGTAGATGTTCATCTGTGAATGAGAGAGTCGACATGAGGGAGTCAATTAGGGTTCAATACTGCCCTCCTCCTTAGAGGTGGCAATTGGGATTGCAGGATGGTGATCTTCAATTCTCAACGGTGATGGAGGAGATAAATGCTAACCATTGCAGATAATCTCCACAGCAGCACTGTGCACCAATTCTGATGAAACTGCCAGCACCAGCACCAGCAGGAAAATGCCAACGCCTCTGGATCTGCTGGTCATTCCTCACAATGTCACTGAGCGAGAAATCAACTTCCATTTCACACAGATGGTAGTGAGAGGCTGACAATGAATCCAATTTCTGACATCCATTTTGGAAGAAATGATAAACATTTCTGGTAAAAGTGGATGGGAAAAATATCCAACAACAGGCAACTTGCAAACGTCACACAGAAACACCATCAGCACTCAGCTCGAGAACAGGACACCATCAACAACTGACTGTCAAATTGCAGATCGGGTACCAAACAGTCACAGGGTCAGCACTGAGGGAGAGCCGCACTGTCGGAGGGTCAGTGCTGAGGGAGTGCCGCACTATCGGAGGGTCAGTGCTGAGGGAGCGCCGCACTGTCAGAGGGTCAGTG